AATCATACATCAAAAGATTTATTTTAGACTCTTTTACTCTATTCATGCCTTCATGAGTTTCTTCGGCCAAATCTCATGTGCAGTTTCGCATAAAGAAATATGATTAAACTCATTTTTATCTAAAGCACAAAATAGAGTGTTCATAGCTCTAGCATTTAAAAAAAAATCTTCTTCTCCAAATCATTCCATTCATTCATTGGTTAGAAGATTTTGAAATCTAAGTTCAATGATATTCCATAACTCGAGGTTCAATGAAAGCAAGAAAACTCTCATCCGAGTTTTCCAATAAGTGTAGCCCGTCCCATTGAACATAGGAGGATGAATGATAGAGTGACCCTCTTGAAAGTCGAAAAGAGTCATTTCTCTTGGATGTTAAACCAAACAAGAAAAAAAATTATGGCTCTGATACCAAATGCTCGGACCAAGTCGGCACAAAGAGAGGGGGGGGGGGGGTGTGAATTAGTACTTTCATAAAAATTACGTCGAGTCAGAAATCTTCATATGATAAAAGCTTGTATCGAAAATGTTTGTAAGAGTGTATAGCTAAATTAATAAGGAAGTAAAGTAGTTTGCAATTAAGGTAAATAGCAAAACAGAAATGCAAACCAATTTATAGTGGTTCGGTCGTCGTGACCTACAACATCCACTCCCGATTCCTCTTCACTCGAGGCCATCGGCTTCCACTACCAGTCTTCCTTTAATGTGCGAAGACCAACTACCCTTATACTCTTTCTTCTTTTCATAGGTTTAGGAGAGAACCTTTACACCCTTCTTTTAAAGTGTTCCCTCACACACCACCCTTAGGACTATCACTAAGCTCTTGGAGGAGGAACTCTATACTTAAAAGAGTTTTATAACCTTGGAATCAGAGTTTTTGCTCTCTTTTCATGTATCTTCGAAGCAAAAATTTGTGGGGTATTTATAGACCCTAAATGACTTCAAAACTTAGAGCCCAAATTCAAATCCCCGAGTTTTCGGGGTACTGGTCGTACCACCACCATTACTGGGTGGTACCACTGCCTGCTAGTCTGACACTCGGTGGTACCACCACCTAGTCTGATGGTACCACCACTTGGCATATTAACACTAGGTGGTACCACCGCCCAGTCTAATGGTACAATCGCCTAATATAATTTGGAAGACTATGTCCGGACGGTACCATCACCCAATCTGAGGGTACCACTGCCTGACATAGTCTTGAAGACTTTGTCTGGGTGGTACCACTGCCTAGTCTGGGCGATATCACCGCTAGACCCTACTATAGAATACTAAATGGGCCAAACAACAGGCCTAATTCAGCCCTGATTTAGGCCCAAATGACCCATAATTGACTTGGCATTATTTTATCCTAATATCAACTCAATTAGACCTAAACTAACTAGATCTTGACAATTTATTATAAAGCACGAATCATATGTTGTCTGCCATGTTATCGGTTCTTCTAGCACTTCGTTCGATCCTTCGACGCATCGTTCTCTCCTTCGGCTTATTGTCCAATCGGCATATTGACTCCCGTAGCGTCTGATCTCCTTGGTGCAATGTCCAATCCTTCCACCCGATGCCCGAATTCATGGCATAAAGCCTTTTGCCAACACGTCGATTGATCCTCTGGCCTAACGTCCAATCTTTTGACATGTTCACTCCGGCCCAACGTCCGATTCCTCTTACTTTAATCAATTTGCCTCTCCTTGATTGAAGCTATTCTTGCGTCACTCAAAATACAGATTAGATCACAAACTTATCAATTGATTTTATTATCAAAATCTAAGATTCAATACCCTCCCGACCGAGGAGATCCTTGGGGGGTCGAGCGAGGGCTTGCCGGACGAGCTTCAAGAGGAGTGCATGATTAGTGGCTGAAGGGTGGGCCATTGCACTGAGATCGTTAATTGTGCCAATTGGGGTAGGAGTGGGGCGATGGTTTGCATCATGTCAATGAGGGCTTGGACTTGCTAAGTGAGGCCTAGGAAAGCATTTGATGGGACGAGCAGGGAGCCTATGCTCGGCCCTAGGGGAAAGTCTTAAGTCATTGAGTAGATGCTAGTAGTGCCCTAGTGTTTGGGCCAAAGTGGAGGCGTCGACCTACTAGAAGGGAGGCATACGCCTCCCTGCTTAGAGGGGCCTAGGGCCATGGGTAGTGCCTCCTTGCTGGAGCGCTCATTAGGAGAAGTGCTAGAAGGATATTTCTATGATATTCAGCCCTCCTTCTAGCATTAGAATATTAACACACGAAAATCGTCGACCGGTGAGTCGGTCTGATTGGTCCACTATCGAAAGTGCAAGTTATTCGCGATGACTCCTCTTTGTTGACACGGAGGGTTGAAATGATGATCTTGCATGGAGAGCCCATTAGGGGAGGTGGTTCACCGTGAGAGTGGTTTGGCCCTTGTTTGATGGAGTTGGGTTTCAGAGCTGGGTCATTCTTACTGCTCGGTTGCCTCTTGACTACATCTCTAGATGGCATCGGGGGTCATGCACAATAGATCTGCACTAAGGGCATCATGGCTCGACCCTTCCAATGCTTAAGTCAAAGAGATGGAGGGGAAGGTTAAAAATGCAAGTGAGAGAGTAAAAGCTCTTGCACGCTTGCCTCAGCTTGGTTCGGGGCTTAGCTTTTATACGTGGGCATTGAGCGACCTATACGTTCATTCGCCAAGGCCCCCCTTTCCCTGCATGGTAGAGGCATCAATAAGGGTAGCTTGCTGGCATGTGTCCTTTGGTGCTTGGGACAGACCATTGGGGAGAGGCTTTTAGGCTGACTTCCTTGTCGCTTTGAGCTAATTCCCTCCCTTTATCGATCATCGGGAAGGGAAGTTTGGTGAAATCAAACCATGCTATCAGTTATTAATGCAGAGGCATGATTTCCGTTGATATATTAGTTAGGAGCATGTCATGTGGGAAAGATTAGGCAGACGACATAGCTTTCTGCTAGCGATCATAGGAAATAGGTGATTTATGAGCTTTTGCTTGGAGTCCTAGGATTATCTCAATTAATATCTTATATCTCCCCCGCAGTAAGACTTACATTAAATGTGTAACTTAAAGGAACATATCTTGATTCTGCCATGAGTCTTTTTACTTGAATTCGTAATTAAATTTAAATATTAATTTATCGCTGAGTTTAAATTAAATTAGAACTATATTAGTAATCATGATACAAACTTAAATTTAAATTTTCCTTTTACTGTTGCTAATTCTATAATTATCAATGCTCCTCCTGCACTTTAGCCCGCCGACTAGTCCCGTGGTTCAAGAAACGGTCCTCCGTTGAGGATTCATCCTGACAGCTTTATAGATCGAAAAAATAGAAATTGACACCATGTCAGATTTATCAATCTCACTACTCTCGGTCGTCTGAGTTTTTTTCTTGTTACGGAAATAATAAAGATTCTACGCTGACAACCTTATGATCAATAATAAACCAGAGATGCAAACAAGTTGGTTGTACCTGACACCACTTGCGATGAATTGTATATTACGAGGATGAAAGAGCTTAAATACAAACCCAAAAGAAACCAAGGAATTAACACAAAAATACAAATCCTAAATAGAAGATTCACGTGATTCTATCTTTTTTCTTATAATAAATTTTCTCACTGCAGAGTTAGTATAGCAGGTAAAACTTTAACCAAAAAAAACAAGAAAATCCTAATCTAGTGTCATTTATATACTCACATAACAATTTTTCCCTCCGTCCTTCAAGATTTAGTATAGAAAATCCTAAAAGTGACATTATTCCGTTATATTCGTCCCTCATCAAAATCTTGAGATCCACAAATTAATGATAGAATAATCAAACTATAAGATCTAAGGGTTTCTTTCTATATTTGAATATTATCTTTGAAAGAGTATTGTTCACCGACCAATTTAGTTCCAATTAGGAGTTCAAAAACGGTTATCAACCCTAAATAAGGAAATCTTCGTTGGGATAAGACCTCCTTTTCACACGCACAGGCATAGTGGTTAATAATTCTAACAAGAAATCCATACTATATTTTGAATAGATGCAGCCCGAAGACTGGTAATGTGCGATGTATTGAGCAGTTGCTAATCAATAACAACAATTAATTGAGTGGCTAAGCTCTTGCGTAGTACCATAGGGATTGTGATTGAGGAACTACCTCATGACATGTTGTCAATGTCTTCTATCAGAAGCCATGGACGCATGCACATGGTTATCATGTATCATTGGATCTGTTGACTTAGAAGTCATGCTTCAATGGATTTCCTATTGAATGATTGAAGTGATAGATCTGTCCGATAGCAATCAAACAAGAAAGATGGGCCACCAAATGCCAAGGCCTTCCTTGATTACTGTTCTCGAAAGGACAATACCTTGATTAAGACTAGTTCGAGGGCTAAGTAGAAGTTAACAGTCTCTTACTAAGCATTTCCGTTCTTGGAACGAGAACTAAAACTATCGGTTCTTGAATCGAAACTAAATTCATTTGAAATCATTTGGTTCTGATTTCAAATTCAATAGAATCGGAATCGTTGATTCTAGGAAAAGATCACCAGTCCTGGAACTAAGGTCAGGGTTACTTTAAGATTTTTAAGAGAATTTTTCTTAACTAATTTAAGAATTACATAATATGAAAGAAACGAATATGTTAATACACAGGAGACATTCAAGTCCTTTTCAAAGGGTTAAGAGTTCAATTTCCTCTATTTTAAGTTGAAGCTGCTAAAGGTTATGTAAATAGAAACTAATAAGGGTTATGATGGCTATTCTCAGGTTGAATTTGACATCTCAAGCTTTTGCATTGAGATGGTTTCTTGACTTTAATTCAATTCTAGATTGGCCTGCTTAGTATCCTTCCTTGTCAATATGATAAAAGAATAGACTATGAGAACACATCTCCAGAGTCTTCTTTATCTTATTCACAGAGGTGGCACGTCTCCAAAATAATTATTTTTTATCCATTTTGATGTGCTCTTCCTTATCATGAGGTGGCAGAAAAAGAAAAGGAAATAGCCACAACAATATGCACATAAGAGAGTGAGATAGTTATTCGGCTTTGTTACATCCAAATTTGAACCAAAATAATTATTTCTTGTCCATTTTGATGTGTCCTTCCTCCGAAGAACAGATCACAAAAAAAGATTCACAACTTCCACTCTTTTTCATGAGGTGGCAGGAAAAAGAAAATTTGGTCACAGCAAAATGTACATTAGAGAGAGAGAGAGAGAGAGAGAGAGAGAGAGAGCGATAGAGGAAGAAATAAATAAAAGCAGCAACTGAGAGACCACTAAAAATTGCTATCCCCGATGCATGAAAAAACACGGCGATGCCACAGTCTCAGTCTTCTGATATGGTCTCGAGATGCGGCCTCCATACTCCAACTCGGCCACTCCGCCGCCGGCGGTGACACACCTTCGTCGAAACGACTTCCTGCTCAACTGAGTTGTCATGATCCAAGTCTTTGACAACGACGACGTCGCCACCAGTTTTCTGGGGCCTTTTCCGGTGAATCTTCTTCCTCTCCTTCCCCGGCAACGCTGATTCTGGTAACAAGAAGTAGATATTGCCTCTCTTCAGCTCCGAGTCCGGCGACAGCATGAAGATCTTGCGGACGACTCCCTGAGAGCACGGCTTGCTGATGACGTGGTTGGGGTGAGCCGCCAGAACTTCCCTGGCAGAGACAGGGCGACTGTACAGCTCCACTTGGCCACTGAGATGGACGACTCGGACGACGTCGAGCGCGCCGCAGGGAAGAACGCAAGCCAAACAGCACCGTAGGCTGTTGCCCATCTTCTCTTCTTCTTCTTCTCAGCTCTCCTCTTCGTGTTGTGAGATCGCTCTATGGGTTATATAGGTGCCATCATCACCCGAACTTCCAATAAACTGACCTGAAGGTTTTGCTGCATCACGACAAGAAGATATATTATAGAATTGTGGATCATCAATGACAGGTGGCATCATCACTCAAACTTCCAATAAACTAAGCTGAAGGTTTGGCTGCATCAGGACAAGAAGATATATTATAGAATTATGGATCATCAATGACGGGTGCACCTTCAAATCATGTTCTCTATTCACTTGTACCCAACAGTAAGAGAAGCAGTAAGCCTCATTGCACGTCTCATTACTTGCCTTGCAATAAGTGAAATGGAAAACAGAGCGAGTGGGAATCAGGTGATCACATCGGAGAATGTTTTCGTAGGTCCTCCGGAAGATCACGAAAACCTAGTGTTACTGCTCAAACTGTCAGTTGTGAAGCTAACGATGACGGTGTCGGTGCCCAGTGAATGCCTCCGATACGTCCACACCGACCACCGCGTCCCCGGGTGGCCAGATCCGTCTTTAGGAGACCTACCGCCTTGGACGCTTCGACGCGGGAACGGAAGAGGACAAGAAGAGGGGCGCACTAAAATAAGGTGCTGTTGTATCCGGTAAGGCCTCGCCTCGCCTCTCGTACAGTGGTAGTTCATTAGCTGTCATCTGTGTCTTCTCTTCTGCGCGAGATTCATCGGCTTGTGGACTTCACGATTACATATCTGAGCTTTAATGCTTTGAAGTAGTCTAATAAGTTACAGCTAATTTATATATATATATATATATATATATATATGAAACCAAAGAAAGTTGCTGGTCGAACACTATAACTAAGCTAGTCTTCATAGTCCCACAGATCAGCTGTGCTGTTGCATGGTCCTTCGTTCTTGTTCATGATTAGAATCTCTCCGTCCAGAATTCTATTGACAACGTTCCACAAAAGAAACAGAAGATGAAACCGTAAATATAAAAAATATAGTTATATATAATTTTAATACAAATCAAATAACGATAAATAAAAATCAAAATTATGTTATTATTCAGAAAATTTTTATCTGATCTATAAAATCATCAAATTCATAAATTACAATGATACCAAAAATTAAAAATAAATCTGTAATCTCAATTTATGATGTTCTCATACTTATAAAATCCTTCATTTTTTATGGATAAGAATCTTAAATGATAATAAAATAATCCCTTCTAAAAAAACCTTATTATAAATGATCCTTTTTATTAATCGATAATTATAATTAAAATCAATTAAATCTATAAAATGATTGATAATATATCATAAAGCATGCTGCTCAAAAGCCTGGAAATCCTCGTTGGGAAGCTCCCATCCAAATACCTTGATGTTTTCCTTTATCCTGTCAGCATGTGTGGACTTGGGAATGACGCTGGTTCTCCTCTGCAGTGCCCGTCTCACCAGGATCTGCCCTGGGTTCTCATCGAGCTTGCTGGCTAATCTGCGCACGGTAGAAGCTTAGATTAGTTTACCTCTGTTACTGTCGCCTCTGGCAGAAACAAAGTGCAGTGGTCGACCTTCACGACAAGTCGATCATGTATGAGGTCTCGGTCATCTCTTGATGATCCCAATGGAGAGTAAGCCTGCAAAATTCGAGCATTCGATCAAATTTTGGTTACCGTCTGATGGCTGTTTTCGCTTGTTTTTTGGGCCGTTTTCGCGTGCCGCGGTGACAGTGGTGAGCGGAGCGAAACGTCAGTCATCTCAGCATCCTGGAACCCCTCGGGTGGTACAAGACTGGATGAGACTTTCATATAGCAGGGAAGGTGCTGCCCCTCGCTTCGCTCGCTGTCCGCTTCTCGTCGCTCATTCACGTAGCCAAAAATGGCCAGTTTTGGCCCATTTTTGGGTTGTTTTGGCTTATTTTTGGGCCGTTTTTGCATGCCGCGGTGATCGTGGTGAGCGGAGCGAAACGTCAGCCATCTCAGCACCCTGGAACCTCTCGGGTGGTACAGGGCTGGATGGGACTTTCATATAGCAGGGAAGGTGCTGCCCGTTGCTTTGCTCGCTGTCCGCCTCTCGCCGCTCGTTTGCGTAGTAAAAAATGGCCATTTTTGGGCCGTTCTTGCATGCAGCGGTGATCGTAGTGAGCGGAGCGAAACGTTAGCTATCTCAGCACCCTGGAACCCCCCAAGTGGCACAGGGCTGGATGGGGCTTTC